TGATGGGGTAAGTCTCCCCTGCCCACGCACCTTCCCCCAGCCCCTCTGCACTTGTGCTGGCCACTCATGCATGCACCCCCGTGCACCCACCCTGACCTGTGTCGTACCCCTACACACCCTCCCTGACCCACCAGGAGCCTCTCATGCACCCCCATGCACCCTTCCTGACCAGCACAGTGCCTCTTGTGCATCCCACGCACTCTCCCTGACCTGCACAGTGCCTTGTGTGCACCCCTGGACAGGCTTGCAACTTCCTGCTGGCTTCCCCAATGACTTTGGTTGTGGGAAGCTGGCAGGAAGTTGCCTTGCCTAACAACCGTGGGATTCAGTTAACAACGGCAACCGGGACTGCAGGATTGCCATTTCTAAGTAATGCGGTTGTACTTTACGACTGCATTACTTAGCGACAGAAATTCCGGTCCCAATTTCCATCATAAGTCAAGGACTACCTGTATACTCTCCTGATTGACAGACTTAAAACAGAAAAAGATACTATTCTGTTGGGACAAATTGGAAGGGATGATTTTAACTTTAAAGCAGCAAAGATTTTGACTTAACTCAGTCCCAAAGGCTAGAGATTTCCTTGAAAGGTTTAAAGAGGAATTGGAGGAGATGCAAGTGGATCAAAAGAAAGGAGCTATGCAGCAAATACAGCAAGAGACTGAGGAAGAGCCTACTATGTTGGGCACTACAGCTATAGAGTTTTCTAAGTTCACAATATAAATATGGGTTGTAAATGCCTAACATGGAATATAAATGGGGCAAATGCTTTGCAAAAAAAAAAAAGATTTTTCATTATTTGAAAAAGGTTAAAGCAAGATATAATTTGTTTACAGGAAACACATATAAGAAAAAAAGGACAAAAAATATTTGATTTTAGAATTTATCTCAACAGGGACAAGTAAGAAAAATGGGGTTGTTTTATATATCAACCCACAACTACAACCAAAACTGATAATGACTGATTATGGTAGATATGTGGGGGTTGAAATTAATTTGAATGAAACCAAGATTATGATACTGGGAATATATGCCCCAAATGATAACAAAGCTATATTCTTTAAAGGACTTATGGAAAAACTAATAGACTTGCCATATGAAAATTGGTGTTTACTGAGAGACTGGAATGGTGTGGTTTGCCCACAAAAAGATAGAACCTCTGTGAAAGGAATTAAAACAACGCAAGGCAAATTACTGAAAATATTTCTTGAAATGATGAATAACTTTGAATTTATAGATATATGGATACATAAAATCGTGACTCTAAAGAATATACTTACTTCTTTAAAAGACACAGATTTTCTCAAGAATAGATATGTTTTGGATTTCTAAGAATCTTGTCACATGTGTTAACAAAGTGGAGATGTTGCAAAGACTTTTTCAGACCATAACCTAGTGACTTTAACATATAAAGCAAGAGGAGAGTTAGAACTTATAGATGGAGACTTAATGAAACTTTGCTACAAAAGGAATCAATAACGGAGGACTGTAAAAAGAAATTGAAAGATTTTTTTGAGAACAATCTTAATAAAAGTACTGACACAAGGACAGTATGGGATGCCAGTAAAGTCTTTTATGAGAGGGCAATTTATACAGCAAAATAGTAAATCGAAAAGACATGAGAAAATGCAAAAGATTTTAATGGTGATAAAGATGAAAGAAGAGGAACTAAGGAGATATCCAGGAAGGAAAAATGTCTCACAGCAAATTAAACTTTTACAATGCCAGCTTTCTATATTAATGATAAGGGAAACGGAAATAAAAATGAACTTTGCAAAACAGAAGACTTTTGAGTTAGCAAATAAGTAAGGGAAATGGTTGGCATATAAATTGAGAAAGGAAAATGAGAAGAAAATGGTATTAAAATTATAAAATGGGAAAACTATGGTAATAGACAATGAAAGTATGCAAAGAATATTCCATCAGTGTTATACAAAACTATATAAAGGAGAAGAAATTTCCTTGGCAAAAGTGGATGAATATTTAAAGAACAAAATTTATCAAAGACAAAAGATAAACAAAAGCAGATGATGACTGGACCTACAACAATAAGGGAAGTCTGTGAAACGATAAAAAAGATGAAAATAAGGAAAACGCCTGGCCCAGATGGATTGCTGGCCTCCTACTCTAAACATTTTGAAGATGAACTGTTACAACTTCTTCAAAAATGATGAATTCTATTCTAGATAATGGAAGGATAACAGACACCTGGACAGGTGCAAACATAGCACTAATTCCTAAAGAAGGGCAAGACCCAGTCTTACCAAAAATTACCAATCAATATCTTTACTGAAGAATGCTTATAAAATAGCTACAATGATTTTAGCTGAAAAGATGAAAAACGTCTTTCAAGACTTTATTCATGAAGATCAATGTGGCTTTTGGCCTAAAAGGTTAAGAGATAAAATTAGAAATATTCTTAATATATTAGAATATCTAAAACAGCATAATGAAAAACAAGCTGTGTTGATATTCCTCAATGCAGAGAAAGCATTTGATAATTTGAACTGGACATTTCTGTTCAAAATTCTGGAAGATATGGATTTTGGGGAAACATTTATTACATGGGTGAAATCAATATATACCTCATAAATGGCACAAATTACAGTTAATGGGGAATTGACTAAAACCTGTGAAATATAGAAAGGAACAAGGCAAGGATACTTGCTTTCACCACTGTTATTCATTCTGGCCCTTGAAGTTTTGAACAGAGGTATAAAACATGATGAAAGAATAGCTGGGGTGAAGATTAAAAAAGAAGTATACAAACTAAGGGCATTTGCTAAGGGCAAACTAAGGGAAAATCCCATGGAAGGAATAGAAATATTAATGGAAAATTTAAAGCAATTTGATGCATTGGCTGGATTTAAAATCAATGAGAAAATGAAGATGTTAACAAAAAATAGGAGGATGGAAGATCAAAAAGAATTGATTGTAAAAACTGTTTTCAGATTGAGAAGAAAGTAAAATATGTAGGTATCACCATGATTAATATGAACTGTATGTTATTCCAAAATAATTATGTTAAGGTATGAAATGAAATGAAGAAACATATGTTAACATGGGAAAAGTTACAATTATCACTGTTTGGAAGAATTTCTGTGATAAAAATGAATGTATTACCTAGAATGATGTTTTTATTTCAAACAATGCCAGTTCTGAGAAATGATGCATTTTTTAAGTAAAGGCAAAAAGATATATCTAGATTTATATGGCAAGGGAAGAAACCAAGGGTTAAATATAAAATTCTCCAAGATGCAAAAGAAAGAGATGGACTGGGATTGTCTGATCTAAAATTGTATTTTGCAACCTGCTGTTTGGTTTGGAGTGGGTACTGTTGAGAAATAAGAGAATATTGGAATTAGAAGAACACAACCTGAGGTTTGGATAGCATGGCCTTTTACGGTACGATAAAGTGCTGTATTAAGAATATGGAACAGATGTAACCCGGGCTGTGTCTGAAAACACTCTTATTGATTTCAGCACAAGCACCATTTCACAGAAAAGAAACAACAGACAAAGAGAGATGGTTAACTTATCAAGATTTGTTAGTACAGGAACACGGAGAACTTAAAGATGAAGTCAAGAGAACAACTGACTGCAGAGGGATTTAGTTTTCAACAGTTCTCATATGGACAATTAAGAGACAGATTTAATATAGATAAAAAGGAACTGGAATAGAAGATGGAATTTAAAACTAAATTGTGTACAAATGATGAACATGCGATTGCTAAAATGTACAAACTTTTGTTGAGATTTGAAATGGAAGAAGAACAAGTTAAAGAGTGCATGACAAAATGGGCTAAGAATTTTGGTTATAATATACAGATGGACCAATGGGAGAAAATGTGATTAAAAGGACTTAAATTCACACTGTCTTACAATGTAAAAGAGAACTTTTACAAATGATGTACAGTTGGTATATGTCACCAGAGAAATTATGTCAGATGTACAAAGATACTTCTAATCAATGCTGAAAATGTAAAAAGCATGAAGGGACATTTTACTATGCATGGTGGACTTCTGAAAAAGTGAAAAAATATTGGATACAAATACACATGATAATACAAAGAATTTTAAAAATTAATACTCAGATGAAACCAGAGCTTTTCTTATTGGGACTTATGGATAAATAATTAAGAGAGTTTTGTATACGGTAACTGCAGCAAAGCTACTATACAGTATGCACAAAGATGGAAAAATACTGAAATACCTGCACTGGAGGAGTGGATTGTGAAGATGGCAGAATCTGCAGAAATGGCAAAACTGATCTCCTTGATCAGGTATAAAACAATTGATATTTTTATAAAAGACTGGAAACCCTTTATGGATTTTTTGCTGAAAGTGGAAAAAAATGAGTTGGGTGATTTTTTCGATTTGCCGATTAAAAAGGGTTGAATATGGAAAGAAGGGAATTATGTAATGTAATCTTAAAGGGGAGGAGAAACAATATATTTGTTTGTAAGTGCTGTAAAGAAGATTGGAAATTGTTTCTTTGATCTTTTTCTTTTTTCTTTCTCTGTACTGTTTCTTGCATTTTTTCTTTTTCTTAACTTTTCTTCATATACCTTTTCATGTTTATCTTTTATTCATATAAAAATCTCTTAAATAAATAAAGGAACAGCCAAGGGCTCCTTTTGGCTGCCTCAGGCACAATAGGCTGGGAATAAGATGATGACAATATCTTAAAAAAGATTCCCAAGGACCTTTGTTCCATGCTTAGGTGAAAGGCAGAAAAGGCAGAGAATAAATGAGGACTGAATCACAAACAAAAATACCGAGTACGTGGGTTGGGAGGAAAGGGAAGACTGAGAAAGCTGTGGTGGCATGGAGTTAATGAGATCCTCACAGAGTTGAGTAGTTTAAAGAATAAACGGTAATGTACGTTCTTCTCTAAAGGACATACCAAAGGAGAACAGCATTGTTCCTGCAGTCGGAGCCTCCACCTCTTCTACCCCCTACCTTGGCCTCCCTGCCCAATATTGCAACAGCAGGATCACCTGTAGTCCTCGGACATGACGACACAGGATTCTTCCTTCTGGAGGCGTGTCAGGAGCGCCCCCCCCTCCAGCTGCAACCTGGCCAGCCTTGCGTCATCCAGAACTGTCTTCATCATTTGCCTATAGCTCTTCAACAAGGCACGAGCGTCCTAGAGTCAAAGAAAGCATGTGGGGCTCTGCTTAGGGCATTCAGATGTAGATACTGGCTGGCCTTCTTACCTGAAGGAAGGCAGCAAGCAAAGCCCCAGAAACAACCTTGATGGCCACCTGGCAAGGTGGTAGGCAGCATCCTCTCTCTGGCCAGAAAGGAGGAAGCTCAATCTGGTCCCAAGTGACTGCTGAGTTTTCTGGCCCAGCAACTTTGTGCTACTCAGTGCCTAAGAAGCCTTTGATTGATCTGGCTAGTCCTCCAGCCCTGGGGATTTCTCTCAGCCAAACTCTGACCCCTCCCTGTTGCAGACTCCAAGCCTCATCAAAGGACTCCTGGCAAGGGCCCCTTTTGTGCTCCTTTGAATAACTTGTACTCAGACACCATACTTGCTGTTGTTTGCTCCCTAAGGTTTAGCTCTGCCACACATAGGAACTGAGGAGAAATCACTGAGTTACATCCATGCCAGCCCTTTAGATATTACCTATGACCTCCTGTTCCCACTTTTCCTTCAGGAAAATCAAAGGCTACATTGTTATGACACAGCAGACCTTCTTTGCCTCTATCTTGGGTAAAACCTTTACTACCCATGTACCAGCAACACACGGTCAAGGATGTTCCAGTCAAACAAGGGGCAGCATCTCCAGTGTCCTTGCATCTACCCCAAAGGCTGAAGGAGACTGTTATTTTTTGAATTTTCTTTTTTAAACATTTTGCCATATTACTGCAAACACTGCAGGCACTCTACTTCTTGACACCGGGAATCTTTGATAGCCTACAATAAGTGAAGCAGAGACTCACCTCAGGTTTCTCTGGCCATCTGCTGGACTCCACTGCTTGTATGGCCTCTTTGAGGAACAGACAAGCCCTTTGGCACCCATAGAGCAAGTGCTCCAGACGCTGCAAGATCAGCACAACAGCACCATGTTGATTAACAATCTACAGTATCTGCCTCCTGCAACTCCCAATCCCAAGACAAGGTACCTGACAGGCTCTTGGGCACTATTTTCTTCTAAAAGAACAAGATTTTGCCATTCTAATTGGACAGGAAAGTTTGTGCTTCAAGTGGAGCTACCAAGGGTCAGAAGTGTTCCCCAGCATGGCCTAACCCATCTCTGTTGGAATAAAGAGGCTCTCTGCTTTCAACTCATCATGGCCCTCCAGAAACACCTCTTAATTGCCCAAAATGTGAAGAAAACAATTCCCATCTTTGTTCTTTTCCTAATCATCCAGAAGCCAACATTCTTAAAATACACAGTTCTTCCACATTTTCTGAACATTTGCTTATCTTTGCAGTGAATATTATCAGAACTTCATGTGAGTCCTACCAATGTATAAAGGGAGTCTGCCATGGATTTTTTTATAGTTCCATTGCCACTGGCATCAGGATAGCTTTCCTGTTTTGGCACCTGCTGGTTATGGCTATTAGCTGTTTCTTCAGGAAGGTTCTTCTTCATGTGAGGAAAACTCTCTGAGCCCCAGTTTTCCCAATGGTTCCCATGCCCCACTGTCTTTCCTCCTCATGAGGCTTCAGGTTTCAACTGACCCCCTTCTAAATTCCAGGACTCCTCTCTCTCCACTCCCCAGATTGTTTACCATGGTTTCTGTTCTCCTTCTGTCTCCGGGCCGAGTTTTTCAGGAGGGGTTTCCTTCCATGGCTTGTCTTCCCTCTGCTAAGCTCTGGCTTCAATAGCTGCTCCTTCTTCTCTCACCCTACCCCTGGAACCCTGCTGACTTCCTGCCATGATGGAAATCCTCCAAAAGAAAAATGCTCAGGGGCTTGCCATCTGCCCAGTTTTTCCTTCCACAGTCTTACTGAACAAATACCACCACCATCTGGTGCTTGTGTTCATTTAGTCATCCAACATGCAATGTGCCAGTATGAACAAGTAGATTCAGGAAGTCTGTTAGCATCTTTTCCAACTAACGTTATTAAGAGACATAAGCTTTTGTGAGCTATAGCTCACTTCATTAAATGCACTTCATCAGATGAAGCTCACAGAAGGTTCTACCTTTTAATAAAATCTGTTAGTTGGAAAAGGTGCTACCAGACTCCTCCTGAACTTTTGCCACCAGGAACTAACATGGCTTACCTCCTACAATACCTTAAATTCAGTAACTGATATGTGCACTTCTTTTAGCTGCAATGTTTGCACCCAACAGTTCTTGTAACTGGAGATTAACCTCTCACACGCTCTGTTGCATAAGAATTCTGGCTCATCCATCCATGGAAAACTGATCCAACAGTAATATTTGGTGGGGAGAGGGGGTTCTAGCATGAACTGCTTGTTTCAGGTTATGCCACCACATTTCTATAGTCTTTAAATCTGAACTTTGATTCATTTATTCCAAATCAATGGATTTGTTCTCTTGTAGATCTTGTAGGTTTTGCTGTATGACCTACCTGTATGACGACATACTGCTGTATGTACTTCAGCTTCATATGAGGGACATTTGGCCTTATGTTCTCCTGAAGAATTCTCTGATACAAAACAGTTTGTGCTTCCTTTAATAATGACAATTATCACCTCCATGCTTGAAACCTGGTATGAGGCTTGCATTATGGAATGCAGTGTTTAGTTTCTACATACTCTGAAATGTTCTACTTTTGACTCATCTGGCCACAGAATATTCCTCCAAAAGTATGAAGGGCCATCCAGATGCTTTCTGGAAAACATGAGCATCAACTTTCTTGGTGAGCAATGGCTTCTGCCTTGCTCCTCTCTCATGAATCCCATTTGCATCCAGTGTTTTTATGATGGTGGGGTCATGAACAGTGACTTTATCCATGGCAAGAGAGATTTTAGATCCCTAAAGGTTGTTCTGAGGATCTTTGTGACTTCTTAGACAATGTCATACTGTAGTATTAGATTGATTTTGACAGAGTGACCACTTTGAAAACATTCATTATCTCCATTTTAATCTGTGTGTATGATTTTGGATTGGTAGAGTCCTAGAGTTCTAGAAATGCTTTTGTAAGCATTAATTTATTTTCAGGGGGCATACCATACCTCTTGAATCTGCATAGTGGGAACTTCCTCTGATGAAAGGAGACAAAGGCTGGCCCAGATCTGCCCTGGTGGTTTAATGTACCACTACTGTGAGAGGAAAAAATGCTAGTGGCCTAAAACTTATTTTAATATAAATATATGTTGCCTAATCACATTTAATAATAAAAGCAAGGGCTAGCTTAGAGATGACCTGTGGGGCACTGACAGGAAATA